GGTGTCCGGTAGGTCCCGGGGCTCTGCAGCGACCGAGCTCCTGCTGTGCCTTTGGGCTGGGTTTTTTTCTGCTTAAGCCCTAACTGCTCCTGCCCCAGGGCAGAGCAGGAGCCAGAGAGTAGCGTGAGCAGCCAGCAGTCAGTGTGAACCAATGGCCTGCCTTGCATTTCCCAGTGTGATCTGTATCCTCCTCTCCTTTTGCTTATCCTCCACTTTTCACAAAGGCTTGCAGTGAGAGGGCAAGGGGGACTGGCTTTAAATTGAAAGAGAGTAGATGGGGATTGAATATCCAGGCCAGGTTGAATGGGGCTTGGAGCAACCTGGGCTAGTGGAAGGTGCCCTAACCCATTGTAGCAGGGTGGAACAAGATTAGCTGTAAGGTCTCTTCCAACCCAAACCAGTCTGGGATTCTCTCCTTGCCTTCTGCCTGTTCTGGGGTACAGGGGCAGGTGTGGGGACTGACCTTTCTGGAGCAAGAGCACACTAGAAGCAGCAGCTGCATTAGGCTTGTGCAGAGCTGGGTCTCTGTGTGCCTTCAGTTAGCCACAGCATCTCTTACAAATGCACTTTGCTCTGAACACAGCAGGAAAGACAAATAGTGACTGAAATGTTGCACTCTGCACCCATCATTCTTAGGAGTGAAGATAACTCCTCTTGGGTCAGTGGTTTGGTTATTTAAAACTCTTCAACTGTAGATAGCTTAATCCATGCTGAACAATGAGCAGTGCCAGCAAGGAGCCAGCAGTGTCTTCCTTACTAGCCAAATAATGAGTCATTTTCTGTACCGCCAACAGTAAGAGAGAGCAGGCCATTCTAAACAGCTTGTAACTAAAAAGACAGCAGTTTCAACAATCAGCATCATATGTTTTTCAATCCTGCCTGCTCAGAGAAATTGAAGAGCAATTTGCAGGCACAGAACAAATGTGGAGCTGGGGATGGCATCAGCCCTGAGCACTGCCCAGCCTGGCACCAATGTGCTGCTGTCTCCCAGCTGCATCTGGGTCTGCAGATGCTGCAGCTCACCTTCACGTCGTCTGTTGCACTGTGGCTTCTTCAGCACCTGTGCCCAGTCATACATGTTTCATTAAGCATGAATTCATGGGTCAGTTCAGCCTAAAGATATGGACACACCAGTGAGTTTTAAGAGCACACCCAAGGCTGCCATTTTTCTAATTAAGTAGCCCTTTTTGAACAGAACGTTGGAATCACCTGGTTTGAAGTACTGTGTAACTTCACTTACTTGTTTTGGTTTTAAAGTATTGTTTTATGTGTGTCCTAGGCAGAGCTGAATAATATTTGTGAGGAGCAAAACATTAACGTTGTGGTTCTGCTGGTTTACAAAGAGTTTCTTACACAAAATTCCTGTGTAGTTCCATTCCACTCTACTGTTTTTTGTGCAATATGAGACTTTTCAGATTGTCAGCAAGAAGTCGAAGTTGAAGAAGACTACTATTTCACAACAGGATATCTGACACTCGAGTTTAGCTGTCAGTTCCCCAAGATTTCAGTCTAAAAATAGATACCTTTTTAAGGAGCCTGTCTGGTTTGGTTTTGGCTCCTGTTTACTCCAGAAGCCATGAAGAATATCAGGGAAAAAAACAGAGGAAAGAGAACACTTCAGTTGCCTACCTAATAGCCAAAGCAAATGCAGCAGGGAGTGAATCAGCCTCTTTGTTAAAAAAGAGCAGCAGTTTTGCTAATGAGAGTTTCACATCCTGTTCCAGGCCAAATCTGGCTTTAGCAAGTCTGTGTTGAGAATTCCAAGAATTAAGTTCAGGCCTCTCTGTTAATGGAAAGAGCTTCATGTGATGTGCTGCAGTGATGTCTGTAGGTCAACTGCTGCTGGAGGGTCTCTGGATGATGATGTGGCAGAGTGTTGAAATCAACACTTAACTGATGGTCTGAGGTCTGTCATTGAAGAAAGCTGTTTATTATCCCTCATAATTCCTGTGCAATTTAAGCTAAAATCAAATGTCAGAAAGCATTAAAGCAACTGTTTGTTAGACAAGCCAGTATTGGCATCATGGCTCAGCATATTCTGCCAGGCTCAGTTTGCATTCAGTTATAATCTGATCAAAGCATGAAGCACATCGTCTTCATATGCCATCATATATATGTACACATATATGTGTATGTGTATACCATGTATCGTGTGATATATCTATGTGTGTGTTGCATATATCAGCATGTCATGAGCAGCATATCCTGGGCTCATCCCCACAGCATGGGCATCATGTGAGGGGGGGGATGCTGCCCCTCTGCTCCACTCAGGGGAGATCTTATCTGCAGTGCTGCCTCCAGCTCTGGGGCACCAACACATGTAAAGCTGCTGGAGAGAGTCCAGAGGAGGCCATGGAGGTGCTCCAAGGGCTGGAGGTATCACAGATAGCCATAAGCATCATGGATGTTATGGAGCAGCCATGAACACATGACACATTTACAGATATCTATGAGCTTCTTGTTACCTTGGGTTAGGTGAGCCTGTGAATGCTGTCCTGAACTTTTGAGTTACTACAGTATAAGCTGTCTGCTAAAGGCAATAACAGCACCAGGCTGGGAATGCTGGGAGTGTTCAGCTTGGAGAAGGAAAGGCTCTGGGGAGCCTTTGAGTATTTAAAAAGTCTTGTAAAAGAGAGGGAGGCAACTTTTTACCAGAGCCAGTAGTGACAGGACAAGAGGCAATTGTTTTAAGCTGACAGAGGGTGGATTTGGGTTGGACATATGGCAGAAATTCTTCCCTGTGAGGGTGCTGAGACACTGGCACAGGTTGCCCAGAGAACCTGTGGCTGCTCCATCCCTGGAAGTGTTCAAGGGCAGGTTGGACAGGGCTTGGAGCAACCTGGTCTAGGGGAAGGTATCCCTGACCATGGCAGGGGGTGAAATGAGATGAGCTTCCTATCCAAACCATCCTATGATATGTAATTTACAGCTTGGCTCTACATTATGCATCACAGCAAGAGCAGCAGAAAGATGCAGGCAATTCTCTAATGTCATTTTTTTGTGGGAAAAGTGATCTGTGCAAATGTTTTGGGATGAGTTGGGCTGAAAAGGGTATATAAATGGGAAATTACTCTTTTGGGGGGTAGCTGTTTGCAAATAACTTGTAGAACTTGAGATTTTAGGTATTTTCAGGCAGAAGTGGAAGTTGCAGGCCATGTGCTGATCTCATGGAAGCTCTTATTTACCCTCACCCAAAAGAGAGATTTCTGGAGCATGGCCACCTTTGTGTCCCAGCTCAGGAATCAGCCTATTCACAGAGTTCTTCCTTGTTAAGTTCCTGCCCAAACTCACCAAATATAGAGTCATTTCATGCACATGTTTTTTGTTGTGGGTTTTTTTTTGGGGGGGAGGAGTTGTGTGTGAGTTTTTCTTATTATCATTATTTTTCATTTGTTTCTGTCAATTGTCTCAGCAAAGTTCTGGAAGAAAGGATTTGGACCCATCTTTTTCTATACTGGCAATGAAGGCAACATCTGGACTTTTGCTCAGAACTCTGATTTCATATTTGAATTAGCAGAGGAACAGCAAGCACTTGTCATTTTTGCTGAGCATGTGAGTATTTTAGTCAGTATGCATATTGTAGAGTCTTGTTGTGTGCGTGATTACCAAATTCAGCTTTCTGCAGGTCTGGAATACTAGTAACATCTGCCAGGAAGCTGAGTCAGACCTGCTGTAAGCTTTCTCCTTGTGGTAGCAGCTCTTCTTTACTTAATCATGGCTTCTGAATGATTTTCTACTATGCCTACCAGCACCCCAGGATACAGACTGCTGCTTCAGTAAAACCTATGCCATAGTGTATTTGCTTTTGGAAGTAGTTTCCACAGGCCTTGAACTCCATGCTAGACTAGAGAGGTACTTTGAATAATATTTAATCTGTCTAGCCTCCAAAGTCCCCAGCCAACCATTCCCACATTACTCATAAATTACTATTCATCAGCTTAGGCACGTAGAGATTATCCTGTTCCCTCTTCTGGATGGGGATTTCAGGAGAGAGATGTGTGCTGAGAGCCCACTTGGCACCCACTGAAGTAGCTTGTCATGTACTGTCCATCCTCTCTAAGATCTGTATGAAGATCTCTGTGTGATAGGTGCAGGAGACAAGGCACTTCCTCAGTTCAGAACAAGTTAGAGGGCACCTCATGCTCTGTTATCTCTTCATTTGTGCACACCCCAGCTCTGGTGAGAGCAGAGAAGACGCAGACCAGCATTGCTGCAGCATCTCTCTTTTCTTTCAGAGGTACTATGGAAAGTCTCTTCCATTTGGGCTTGAGTCAACACAGCTGAAGAAGACTGCTCTGCTCACCATTGAACAAGCCCTTGCTGACTATGCAGTGCTCATTACTGAGCTCAAACAGCAATTTGGTGCTGCAGACTGCCCTGTCATCGCTTTCGGAGGCAGGTAAGGCTCCTTCCCTTTTCTCCATCTTTTCCCAGCCAGAGTTGTGCTGTCTTCCTAAATCTCTTTGACTCTCAAGCAAGTTCTCAAGGTAGGTCTTTAAGCTACATAATAGAGAGCAGATGTACCTGTGCCTCATCACCAAGTCCCACTCAGCTTTCCTATCAAGAATTAGTCTACATTAGTGGTTGCTTTGGAGAAACATCCCTGACTGGATGTTTCTAAGCTTCTTCAATGTATGAGTCATCCAGAACTGCAGAAAATGAGAAATTCCTCCTGCAGGATCAGAACATTTTACATTGGAAATACAGGAAACTAAAATATTCTTTCCGGGGGCCGCCCAACTGTTTATTAAACACAGCCTCTTCAAGAGCATCCAGCCTTTTTCATTGCAGGCCCCTTCACAGTTCTGCTCTGCGACCTGCTGCATGGCTGCTCCTTGATTCTTCTCAGCAGAGTGCTTGCTGTGCTGCAGCTGGCTGGATGCAATGTCCTTGTCTCTCGATGGATCCTTGCTCTTGTAGTAAAAGAATGCTTCCCTTTTAAAAGGCTTCCAGAAGTACAGGGCTACGAATTCAGTTGCAGTGAACTACAAAGCATTTGACCTGCCAGTTATCATTAAGCCTTCCAGCTCACTCCTGAACTGTTGCTCTAGGGAGAGTTTGTACTGTGACTATCAGGACATTATAGCTGCTGTCCTGATAGTCCTGTCCTGGGGTGGGAAGGTGGGAGAGGGATTCAGCAAAACCTGCTAGCTGGGTGCATTTTAGACTGCAGCTCTGTGTGCAAGTCAGGGCTCAGTCTGGATCAGCCCTGAATGCATTAAACCCACATGAAGAACACTGAAATATGGCAATACTGGAGCAGTACAGAGGAAGACACCTCTTCTGGTGCTTATAACTTTGCCAAACTAAGCTGAAATTACTTGTATCAGGTTTCAGCTAATGCCTGTTTCTGAGACCAGGGCTAGAGAAATGCACATTGCTTTACATGTGGGTGCTATGGGAATGGTATGTAGTGCAACCACTTGAGGTGATGGGGAGGGAGATTGAGTACCTCTGAGCCTGGAGTTAGACCAGGTTTTACCTGTGTTTTTGGGATGTCATTTGCCACCCCCAGGAGTGACCTCGGAGTAACTGCAAACCACCCAATGAATTTGTCACCCTGAGTCTGTCTAGCAGCCCTTGATCCATGTGTAGATTGTGGTCCTTGCACTGAAACCACCAAGGTGGCTTTGAGTTTTCTTGTGATATTTGTTCATGTCTCCCCTTCCCTGTATCTGTGCTGATTGTCTATGCAGCTGTTATTTGGGGTGCCCAGGTAGAGTACTCTCCACTTCTAGGACTTGAGAGGGCTCTTCTGTCATGTTCAGACTATCCAAGAACCTGGATAGCCTTTATCATCCTGTATGGAAAATGCACAGTGTGTCTCCTTTCCCACTGAGCAGTGACAGCTTCACTCCAGCCCCACTTGTCTCTGCAGTGAAGCTGTTAGGACATGTTCAGGACATGCAGAGTTAAATATTCAAGCAGGATTTACATTTGTCTGCAGAAGCGAACTGAGGTGTTGTGTTCCCACCAGACTTGCTGTGAGCATTTGAGAAAAGGCCAGCTGCTCATTGCCCATAACTGGATCTTTTCACATGAGGATGAGGTATCACAGATAGCCATGAGCATCATGGATGTTATGGAGCAGCCATGAACACATGACACATTTACAGATATCTATGAGCTTCTTGTTACCTTGGGTTAGGTGAGCCTGTGAATGCTGTCCTGAACTTTTGAGTTACTACAGTATAAGCTGTCTGCTAAAGGCAGTAACTCCTTTGTCTCTCCTTGCAAGCTATGGAGGAATGCTGAGTGCTTACCTGAGGATGAAATACCCAAACGTCGTGGCTGGAGCATTAGCTGCCAGTGCTCCTCTGCTGTCTGTGGCTGGGCTTGGAGACCCCACCCAGTTCTTTAGAGATGTCACAGCGGTAAGTAGCATCTCTTTTCAGGAGCATGTATTTCCTTCCTTTAGGAATGCTGAGTTTTTTCCTTTTTCCAGTGTTTAAACAGACTTCTGTTTTCACAGCATCAATGCTGAGCAAGGAGTGCAATTAAATGGGAACACACAAGGAAAAGCAGCAGTCGTGGGTGTGAATGGCTGACCACTGCCTTAGCTGAGGCAGCTCAGGGTCTAGAGGTGCTGCTCTGAGCAACACAGCTCATTGCCAGCACCTTTAGTACCACTAAGAATTCACTTTGCTATTTCTAGTGGCTTGACCATACTACAACCTGAATTTTGTCCTTTGTGCCTGGATAATTTATTCTTCAAATCCTCTCCCAAAATGCTGTATTTTGCCTTGGTACCAATGATTTGCAGCAGCTCCTTGCTCCCAAGGTGGTTGCATTTCAATGAAGAGCTTGGAAGACTTCATGTCACTAACTAAAAATGTGCAAGGTGTCCTGGGTTCACTTAAACTAAAATTTAAATGGGCTTTCGCAGTTTGAGGCCATAGGACCCACAGGAAGGTGGCGTTGCCTAGAACTGACTTACATTTACTTGCTAAGGAAAGATATGTACTACCTCGTAGCACTGAAATTTTGTGATGTCTGTTTTGCCTCTTCTTTCTTTTTTTTTTAACACGAATTTCTAGATCTGGGTGACACAGATGGCTTTGCGTGAACGACCTGTGTTGTCCCTCAGTCGGGGTTTAGGTCCGTGCCCAGTGCAGGAGCCAATGAGTGCAAGGAGCCAAGATCCACCTGCTTACCTGTAATGCTCTTCTGCCCAGAAAGGAGTGCTGGGCGGTAGTTCACAAAGCTGGCACCCCTCTTTGTGGAGTTTGCAGGCTTTTATACAAGCTACAGCAAAGATGATGTTGCACAAAACTTCTTCATTGGTCAACTTAACCAATGCTTTTCTGTGTGTGCCCCCATCAGTGCCTGGTTCACTACACTAGGGTGCTCTGACATTAGCATGTGAGGTTCCTCCCAGGGGTGGTTTTTATCATGCTATTTAGTCTTAGGTTACCTTTGGGCCACCTAACCCTTCTCCCCCATCCCCCTGGTCCAGAGGTGATTCATCTTTGTTGACATAAGCATATTCTTGTCATTTTTGTGCCATCTTCCTGTGATTCTCCAGTTTGAGGACCACACCTGTGTATGCAACTCAGTGATCTTCTGCTCTTATTTTATATACAAGAACACCTTGTTTCAGTGCAGAGACTTACAGAACAGATAGGTTCACCAGTCAGTATAAAGAAGAGACCATCATGCGAAACTGAACACATTTGAAACGCTTTAAGTGTGTAAAAGAATAAAAGACATCTTGTCTTAAAGTTATGCATTTTTAAACAAAAAATGTAATACCACCTAGTCATCTAACAGGACTTGCAGTGGGAATTCTTCCCTGGTTGAATCTAACTTCCTCTCAACAGCCCTGTTCAGCCAATAGCTCTGTCTTGCTTCAGCAGATGTATATGCTGTGAGTCATTGCACACCCCTGAAATTAGGGCTTTGACCTTTTCAACAAACTTCCCAATTAGTTTAAAAGTCTGTTCTCTCTGCAGGTAAGCCAGGCTCTGGGCTGAGCTCCTAAGCAAGCACTATGTGGTGTTTTCAAAGTACGCCCTTCTGCCTTCAGTATGGAGATTGTTCTTATTTGCATAAGAGCAATCCGTGCATCTGAAATCTGAATTGAATTGCTCCTGAGAGCTGTTAATGCTAATGAAGGCGTAAACCTTTCTTGAGTCACTGTGGAACTGCTCTCCTTCCTCTCTCCCTTCCCATGAGTCAGAGGTCATTGTCTCAGAGCAGCTTTCTCTGTGACCGTTAGTGAGGTTTTTCTGCTCACTTCGTAAGCCTCCCGCTCACAGGGAAAGTGAGCAAAGGGTAGAAAGTTGATTTTGCATTCACATAAGACCAGATTATATATGCTGACAGAACCCCTGGTGTGAGTCCTGCACATACTGCAGATACAACCCTGCCTGCTTCCCTTGAGGTTACTGCTGCAGTGCCTGCTCAGGTCACACATTGGAATTGGGCATGAGTCAAGACGAAAGCTGGCAGCCGGGAGGGCAGTAGCTTTCCTTGGAGTGGCTGCAGTGCCTACTGCCTCTGCTCAGCCCAGCTGAACTGTTTCAGGTCTGTAAGGGTCTGGGGCTGAGCAGAAATGGGTGCTGGGTCCTTTGTTCCAGGCAGTGCGCAACGGCAGCTCAGTGGTACCTAGATGGGAGCTTGGCCATCACAGCACCCAGAGCAGACCTGCTCCTCTGTCCCAGGCCTAGACATCCCCATGCTCTAGTTAGAACCACTAGTGTAGACAAAGATCAGTACGTGTATCCCAAAGGAGATTTGGAACCCCACAGGTAAACTGTGGAAAGCCCCATAGTTATTTCTCTAAGCATAATTATCAGACAGGCAGACTCAGGAAGAAAAGAAAGGCCCAAAATCCACCTTTTAGTTGAGGCTGTGTCTTTAAAAGAAAAATGCTTAGCTAGAGATTTGTGATTACTTAACCATTGCTATAGCAGGGTAAAGGGACCTTGAAAGAGCCCTAATCATTCTTATTACTAAGCACTGGCTGCCAGCAGATCTGTCTTACAAGTTGAGAGAAGAGAAACAGTTTGAGTTGCTAGAGCCCTCAATGACAAAAATAACTTGTTCTACCATAACCAGCCTCAGCTCTTCAAACATAGCTTAGAGTGCTTTTTTAGGGTCAGTAATGATTTTCCCAAGAAAAAGGACATGGCCTTCTGGATCATCTGGTGGGTCACTGGCAGGCACAGGAAGAAAAGCAGTCTTGGTTCTGTGTCCTCAATGCATAACTGACTTCTCCATGGCTCCTTCGCATAAACAAAGTGCAGTTGCAAGGACTCTGTAGTGTGTTTAAAGACAACACCAAAACCTTCTGGACCTCACAGCCTGGCCCCCTCTACCCATGTCATGGCCAAGGCATGTCTCCTCTTGCTGCTTCATGTTCAGGCTGATGCTCCATGTGTAGTGTTCTGTCTGACAGCTCATCCCAGCTAGACTTGACACAGCTTTGGCTCTGCCTGAGCTGTGTGGAGTGTTGGCTTCTGCTGGGACTGTCTGGAGGACAAGGCAGAAGCACTGGTGTCATTGCTCCTGGAGATGCAGATGAGGTGCTGACCAGTGGGCCAGTAACCCTTGTCACCTCCTGATCATTCTGGCAGTTCTTCCCATTGCAGCCACTACATGTAGCTCCTCTGTGAAGCCATCATCCTGTGTCCTTCCTGTCCCTTCAGGATTTTCAGAAGTCCAGCCCAGGCTGCGTCACAGCCGTCCGCAAAGCCTTCCAGCAGATCAAGGACCTGTGCCTCAGAGGAGGTAAGGAGAGAGCCCTGCAGACAGCTCCCAAGGGCACCCAGCAGAATTAGCCAAGGGGAAAGAGGGTGATACAGCTTTACCTCAGCCGACTCTTCAGTTGTGCAGCTGCATCGATGCAGATGCCCACCTGGCTGCCTCCTTCTGCTTGAAGGCTCAATTGTTTTTATTATTTAATTAACAGTTTTAGTTAGCATTAGAATTAGAAACCAGCACCAGAACGTAAGCAGCTCTGTGGGGGTTTGCACAGTGTTAATGAAACTTTTCTGCACCAAAGTGCAAAAACACTTTCAGGTGAAAACTGCCAGTATTTTATGCTGGTAAAGCCTTAAGCTTCACCAGCTGCATGTCCTCAGCACCCACACTGTTAAGAGCTGTTCAGGTGAGTATGACAGCTGTGGGGCTCAGCTCAGTGGTCAGATCTGATAAATACATGGAGGGTAGTCTAGGTCCTGAAGCAATTATCCCAGTCCCCTCCATCTCCAGCCTTGGAGAGTTAGGGCAGAAACTCATGAAGACCTCTGCAGTGGCTCCCAAGGAGGCTGGACCAGATGCCATGGGCCAATACAGCATCTCCTGAGAGTCCTGTGTGGTGCTGGGACAGCTGTGGTGGCTTCTGAGACTGTCTCAAGGCTTGGTTTGCAGTGCTGCATGTAAGGAGCCATGTGCCTTCCAGCTGCTGCTGTCCTGGAACTGCCAGAGGAGTCTGCGGTCCAAAACGCCATTTGGCTTTGGGTCACAACAGGAAGAATGTTACTGTTTAGTAGCTAAGCTCTTCCAGGTCTGCCTGGGACCACACCACCTGCAGTTGTGGGGGATAAGGTGGTGTAAAAGTGTATGGGTGCGTCTTGAAGGAATGTCTTCAGAGATTAATTTCCTGACTCCAGCTGACCTCTGCATCCCGTGTCAAACGTCAGTTTGAAGGCTTGTCTGAGGAGTCCTTTTTGAGGACAGTTCTCACTGCACATACACCCTGCTCCCAAGGCCTCTTTTTTTTTAAGTTTGGTGTTTTCCCCCGCCAGTTTTTCCAGCTGTTGAATGCCACTGGGACCTGTATGCTGTACCCTGCTCTCCTGCATGAGGGCTTGCCTGGGGAGCCTGCCCTGCAGGACACCTCAGCCCTACCCGGGGAGATGGCCTGCAGGGGCAGGAGCAGCCATCGGGGCACTTGGCTGTACCAAGCTGCTCTGCTTGCTGTACCAGCTGGGACCCTGTCTGTCCTGTCAGGTGCTGATCCCTCTGGGCTGCCCAGGGAGATGTCTGTGGCTCCAAAAGGGGCAGAGCACAGGCCTTGGGCCATGTGGGGTTGTGACACTGCACAAGGAGGCTGTGCCCAAACACCCACATGTGTAAATTTAGATCTAATGTGTCCTTTCCACTAGAAACCTCATCTGTATGTTACAGCATCTCCTTACTCCAGAGAGAAACAAGGTGCTGAAGCTCAGTTTTAACTTTCCTCTGTTGAATTTCAAGTCTTTCATTTTCCTTTCTTCTGCAGCCTGTGATGAGGTCAGCAGCAAAATGGCCACATGCAACAAGATCTCTAGCAAGGAGGATGTTTACCAGCTGTTTGGGTTTGCTAGAAATGCCTTCACCATGATGGCCATGATGGACTACCCTTACAAAACCGACTTCATGGGTCACCTCCCTGCCAATCCAGTGAAGGTGAGTACCAGGACATCAGTGCGAGTGGGTGACAGAGCTTAGGACACTGTCAGGCTCACACCGTCAGCAGTGGTGGTGATGAAGAGGCAGTGGTGGGTGGTGCAGCCCTTCTCCTCTGGCAGTAAGTCTACTCATTTTAAACTTTTCTGATGGTGACTGCTGTGTGTGTCATGCACTGCTGTGATGCTCATCACGGCAGGTTTGCTGGAGTCATCCCTACTCTGCTCTGCCTTTACCTTAGACACAAAGGCCTGTGCAATGTTGTTGACTTCAGCTTTTCAACACTAAAAACCTGTAGCTTGAAAAAGAAATAGTAGTTTCGTTGTAGCCGATCTCAACATGCTTTCATAGATGCATTTTTCTTGGTGGATAAGGATGGAGATCTAAAAAGCAGGCTCCTTTCTAAGTATTGCTTAGGAAGGTGACATACCTCAGGTATAATGCAGAGGAAAGTCTGCTGCTGTGGGCACTGAAAAATACGTGAACTTTCAAGAGTCAGAGATGGCAAAATGTGGGAAAAGGGCCAGGTTCTCAGGGGATCACAGGCCTCAGACACTTTTGTCTCTGCTTTGGAAAGGTCCCAGTTTTGATCCTAGATCACCAGGTGCTGTTGCAGTTCTTGGTGTCTTCTGGTGTGCTGTCAGCCTTGTGCTGCTGTTCCCTGCTGCCCTCCACACCATGCCCATGGGACTTCATTTGCCTCTGGCTTTGTGCCTTTTGGGTTCTAGTCCTATGTGGAGCAATGCTCATGCTGTGCAAGAGGTCACACAGACTCCACTGCACTGGAACTCAGGAGATGCTGTCTCTGGCTCCATTGGGCATCCAGTTCCATTCCATGGTCTGTTTAATGACCTCTAAAAATGGACATAATTATTCTACACCAGGGCATTAAAATATTCTGATTGTAGGAGGAACTGTTGTGTATCACTAGGGCACCTCCACAGCTGCTTAACTTGTTAAAGGAACTGTTTGCCCATGCCCTGTCTGCTTGTTTCTATGTATTTTGTTGCTAAAAGGGAGTGAAAAAACCCTCAAAACCTGTTGCATTAGGCACATGGAAAGCTCCTGAACCATAAAATGTATAAATGATAATTTTAATGAATCTTCCAGCTTAGCCGTTGCGTGGAGCAAAGACAGGTAACTGTTCTGTCTGCCTTTTGCCTGTAATGTGTCTCACCCAGGTCAGCTGTGAACAAATTCTTGCCCACAAAGACCCAATTCAAGGCTTGGCTGCTCTTGTTGGTGAGTTAATATCATCAGTTTGATCTTTTATGTTGCACCCTGTTTTCTAGAAGCAACTGTCAGTAGAGGTGTTGCATTGCTGTATGTCAGAGGAGCTGATTTAATTCTGATCTCCTGCTGGGATGTTTTGCCCCATGTTGGTTCTGTCCATCAGGAAGTCCTGTGGTGGCCTATAGGTTCATTCTCTCACCTTTCCAAACTTATCCTTGTCAGGTTTCTTGGGCACTGCAGCCGCATAGCCTGTTGTCTGTCCATGAGATGTGGACTTGTAGATACTTGGTTCTTTTCTACAAGTTTACCCATCCCCCTGGCTCCAGCAGTCACAGGCTCGGTGCACATTCACTGAAGGAGGTTTTCTGGTCTGCTTGTTGAGGACAAAGTTGTCTCCACAGTGTCCTATGGTCTTAATCCAGTGGCAAGACAGTCTTAAATACATTGTGTATATTTGTCTCTGAGTACGTACTTTGCCAGCCAGCAGTGTTGGTAAGGAATGGAGAGAGAATTCAAAGATCTTTTGAAGACTTCCTCATAAAATCTCTCAAGTTGCTCATTCAAAGTAAGTTCTATGTTGGTCATTATTCAGAAAAACAGGTTCTGAATGACAGAAAAATTGATTTAAGGAATTGTTATGGTTTAAGGCAGTTTAGTAGGACTGGGAGCTATTTTTCTTTTTTTTGTTTTTAAATGCAAATGCTGTATGTACACCAAGTGAGAAATGTACCAATCCCAAATCTCTGCCGAAGACATTTGGCTGACAGCTAAAAGAGTTGTTAAAACACTAATGTCTTGGCAAACACTGTCAGATGTACTGGAGTTATTGACATCCTACTCCTTCCACGAGGCAGAGTGGGACTCTTGTTTCTTTGGGATGAACAACCTGAGGGTGGATTTCTTGCTCTCCCCTGCAGGGGAGCAGTTCATGCCTCTCCCTGTCTCCCCAGCTGCATTCAGTCAGAGCAGTTTAATCATGCAAGAGGCATGATCCGCCAGAGCTTTAGGCAGGGGACTGGCTTTCTTCCATACCTGCCCCTCTGTGTCATACAGGAAAACACTGTCTTTTTTCTGGTTGTGCTGCAGCAGCTCTCCTCCTGCCAGGTAGAGTGTAGTGCCATGGGCTGTGATGCTGAACTGGCAACAGGTGAAAGAGGACAGCATCAGTGTTGTCCACTGATTGCTTACAGGACAATAATACTCTGTCTCCTGGACATGAATCTACTCCTCCACCTGCAGAGAATCAGACCAACACTGACCCATCATATCACACCTCAAGTGGCATCACTGTCATGTCAGGCTTGCTTGGTTCATGATCATAGTATCATAGGATGTTAAGGTATTGGAATGGAGCTTAGAGATCATCCAGCCCCAACCCCTGCCCTGGGCAGGGACACCTCCCACCAGAGCAGGTTGCTCAAGACTTTAGCCAACCTGGAATGAACACTGCCAGGGTTGGGGCAACCACAGCCTCCTTGAGCAACCTGTGCCAGTATCTCACCATCCTCACAGGAAAACATTTTCCTGAGATCTAATCTAAATTTTCCTCTTTCAATTTATCCTATTCTTCCTTGTCCTGTCACTGCAGCTCCTAACAAAAGATGAGAGCAGCGGCTCTGAACAGTTCCAGCTCGCTGCATCCCTCGATGCTAGTCCTGTCCAAAATCTCACAAAGGGTTGCTTGGTCCAGGTCTTTCCAGCACTAAGGATCAGCCAGGATCTGTTTGTCATGCTGCCCCACGTAGCGCATGGCTTTCTGTCTCAGCTCCTCTGGGCCGAGTTTCTTGGTGATGTTCAGAATATCCAGGCAGTTCTCACAGTTCAAGCACTCCTCCAGAAAGCGGTAGCACAGCTTGGTCACCTCCCTCACCAGGAGGGTTTCTGCAGCTTTGAAGGTCTCCTCAACAGTCTGTAGGGAGAGGTCGAGCTTGTTGGAGTAGATAAAGTCGAGTACATTCCGTAGCCCGGCAGCACTGACAGCTTTCCGTCGGATTTTACCGTCTGAGCTCCCCACTCCCATCAGCTTCCTAACAAACAGAATCTTGCAGTAATTGCTTGTGGAAGCCAAAATTATCTTGTGGGCTGGAAAGCAAACCCCTTCTGCCTCCAGAGTCCCATCACACAGCACACTCTGTGAGCAAAGGCTGCTGAGCCCTTCCAGAAGTTTTGGCAGGCAGGTGTCCGAGACGAGCTGGGCCGTTCCGGCTCGCGCACGAGCATCGCTCCGGGCGGCCCCGGGGCAGCCCCTCGGTGTATCTCCTGGGCAGCCTTTTGCAGCTGAGCCAGTGGCTCTGTGCTGTGAGGGGGCTGAGGCTGTGCTGCCCCCTCCGCAGAGCCACCCCAAAGGCATGGCTGCAGCAGCTCCCTCAGCACCCTGTGTCTGGGGCTTTGCAGCTCGAAGCACCAGGTGGTGTGTGGAGCTGCCCGGAGCTGTTTGCAAGTGGAGCTGGTGGTGCTGGTTATCACACCAACCCACGATGTTTGTGGGTTTGCTCGTGGGCTGGGACACTGGCAGCAGCATAGGGCCAGCGTCGTAGCTGCATTCCTTCTCCTCCTCCTCCTCACTATCCGGTAACTGTCCATCCACACAGGGAACAGCTTGTTCCCAGCACCCCCTGGCCACACTTCACTGGCTGCTCTTTCATCTGGGCAAGCCTGCACACACCATCCTTCCCTTCTTGAACAAGTCACGCCAAATCCCCTCTGTGATGTGCCACCCTTGGCCCTCTGCCTACATCTAACCAATTCAGAGACAGCTCCTTTCAGGGAGGGGTTGGGAAGGTCTCAGCAGTTGTGTCCTGTTCAGTTCAAAGCATTCAACCAGCATCCTCTGCACAGCTTTCTTCTAGGTACGAGGGGATGGGAGGCCCTGGCTCTCCCAGGGACTAGTGAGCTACTCACTTGGCTTTTGGCATGAGCAGAGACAGCAAAGAGCACCTGGGAGTCCCTTCTTCCCCATGGACATGGCAGAGACAAAGGGTATACTACAGCCAGGCTTGAGCACATGTGAAAGCTTTGCCATAAAGCTGAAGTGTCACCTCACAGGAGTGCAGGCCCTGTGAGCTCTGCCCCAGCCTTGCACACTCATCCAGCCCTCGGCTTGGTCTTGGCCACAAGGTTCCTGTGGGAGGTGGTGGGTGAGACAACAGACTTAGTGTCTGGCTTTGTGCTGTGTTCCCACCTGGCAGGGGTGTTCTACAACTCCTCTGGCTCAGCACAGTGTTACGACGTGTACCAGCTGTACCAGTCCTGTGCTGACCCCACAGGCTGCGGCATCGGCTCAGACGCAGAGGCGTGGGACTACCAGGTAAGGGGTTGGAGACACCAACAGGTTTCAGCTGCTGCCCTAGTTATCTCCCACCCCATGACAGCTCTTGTGCTTCTCTTAGGTTTGCACCGAGATCAACTTAACTTTCAACAGCAACAACGTGACAGACATGTTCCCTGAGATGCCCTTCACGGAGGCCATGCGTGAGCAGTACTGCTGGAACAGGTGGCGTGTGAGGCCACGAGCACACTGGCTGCAGATAAACTTTTGGGGAGGAGGTGAGTTGTGCTGGCTGCTTGTTCCTTTGTGTTACTCTGCAGCTGTAAGAGGGTACAGCTGTCCCCCTCTGCCCAGCTGAGTCCCTTAGGGTCAGGTACAGCTCATTAATGAGTCCTGGCAGAAAGTCATAGCCTTGTGCTGACTTGAGCCACACAGACCTTTCTATACCTCCTCAGAACAGGAGAGGCAAACCTAAAAACTACTAAGAATTTGTCCTGTTCTCCAGTGTTTTCTGTTCTTGGCCATGTTTGCTGCAGTAGCCAAACACATTTGTATAACTGAGCAGGAAGGAGATCTTTCAATTATCATCTTTCTGAATTTCAGACCTGAAAAGTGCAAGCAACATCATTTTTTCCAATGGAGACTTGGACCCGTGGGCTGGAGGTGGGGTAAGCATGTGCACTCCTGCCCCCTGAGCACAGAGCAGCCTTTGCAGGTGGCACACTGCCCACTCTGCCTTTCAGAGCAGTGCTGGCTCTGATTCAGCTTTATCCTATTTGAGTTTCTGTAAGCAGCTGTTTGGTGCTGAACCACTCAGGACACTAATGATGGACACAGTTAGTAGTGTTCATCAGCCCAGAACACTGATGGAGCAAAGGTATCTTCACTAGTGCAGATGCAGCAGGACCCTCCTTATCCCACACCCAGGGCCTGGGGTGTTTCTGTGTCCAGACGTGGTCTTGGTGCTGCCAGATGAGTGTTCCTGCACTCCCAGCACACTTAGTGAGACCAAGTGTGTGCTGTGAGCAGTGACTCGAACCAGGTCGTGTTTTGGCTTAGGTTCTACAAAACTTCAGAGTGCTGGCAGAGCTCCAGTCTATAATTTAAAACCAAAAATGACCTAGAACTGGATTTTGAGTTAGTTGAGCTCCTGATTTTATGTCGAAGCTCCTTGTTTTAGACTGGCTTGGAATCCCAGCTGCAAGAGGAACAGGCTGCTTAGGGTGCATGGGCCCAGAGGAGACTTACCTCCAATTTCCTATGCTGGAATCAGCTGACAGCTCCCACCTAGGGGGAAACCTTCCCTTCATTTGGGACAGGAGATCTGGCTCATTAGGCCTGTTAGCTGTGTGCATGAGACCAGTTGTACCAAGGATCTCTTCCCATGCTTTTCCTCAGTCCTGCCCAGAATGGGTTCCAGTCTTCAGAACTGATGTGCAGTTCTGCCCAGTGACTTGGTGCGAGTTGATCTCTGCTCCTTCTCCTTCCAGATAAACAGCAGCCTCAGTCCTTCACTGATTGCACTGACTGTTAAAGGAGGTGCCCATCACCTCGATCTGCGGTAAGTACCAAACTCTCCTTTGACTGATGGAATCCTGCTGCCTTGAGTGTTTGGTCTCAGTGAGCCACAGCCCGGGGAACCAGGAGATAACATAGAATTGTTCAGGTTGGAAAAGAACTCTTAAGATCATGAAGTCTAACTGTCAGCCCACCAGCATGTTCACCACTAAAACATGCCCTCAAGTGCCACATCCACATGTTTTTTGAACACCTCCAGGGATGGTGACTCCACCACTGCCCTGGGCAGCTGTGTCAATGCTTGACAACTCTCTCTGTGAAAAAACTTTCCCTTATATCCAATCTGAAGATCCCCTGGTTCAGCTTGAGGTTGTTTCCTCTTGTCCTGTCACTTGTTCTCTGGGAGCTGAGCCTGACCCCACCTGGGTACAACCTCCTGTCAGGGAGTTGTAGAGAGCGAGGTCCCCCTACCCCGAGCCTCTTTTTCTCCAGGCTGAGCCCTCCCAGCTGCTCCAGCCTCTTCCCCAGCTCCCTTCCCTTCCCTGGACACACTCCCAGCACCTCAGTGTCTTTCTTGTCGTGAGGGACCTACAACTGACCCCAGGACTGGAGGTGCCTCAGCAGTGCCCAGTAAGGGGAAGTATTTAAAGAGGATACCAGGTTGTTGCAGCCCAATGTGGAAGGGTGATCTTCCCCAGCACAGGATCTTCCAGCCTCCAAGGACACCAGGCTGTGCAGAACTCGGCTCACCTGCTTTCATTAGATCTGGTTCTTGCACATAGGTTGGCACAAACGTGTGACAGCCTGCAGCAATCACTCCCGTGTAGTATCCGGTGCGTTCTGGCATTAGCTATCGGCCTTCGGGCCCGGAGCAGAGTGGGCAGCAGCACAGATGCAAGGGCGAGCTCAGGGCTGCTGCCCACCCGTACTGGGGTCTGACACTGCGACTTGTTCTCCTGGGCATAAATGTGGAGCACAAATCGGTCAATCTCTGTGCTTCAGCTTCTAGGCTTAGCTTTCCCTGTGCAGGAGGCAAAGAGTTGCTGCCCAGTGACTGACACCACTCTGCTTTCCTAGGGGACACAACCCAGCCGACCCCCCATCCGTCAGGGACGTGCGCAGGCTGGAGGCTGGCATCATCCAGGGCTGGGTGAAATCTGCGCGGACGGAGCGGGAGCAGCGCGTGGCAGCAGCAGGGCACGGCTGGCTGTGAGCCCCTCCGACCCCTCAGCCCCCAGGGGTGCAGCTGTCCCAGGACACAGCAGCCTGCTGGGCCGGGTGGGACACTGTTCTCTCCTCTGCCATGGTGGTGGAAATTCCCCTTTCCAAAATGTCCTACCTGCACCTCATCAAGCATCAAAAGAAAAGCAAAAGGCCAAATCACTGACTGAAGCCAAACCCACATTGTCTGGGTTGCCTGCTGGGTTGCTCAGAATAAGCTGTTATAAAGGTTAAGAATAAGAAAAGCTTCCCTGGAAGTCCCAAGAGCCATCATAGCCCTGAACAGGATGGTTGCATGAGGCACCTGAAGGCTGAAGCTAAATTATTTTTAGAGAAAAAGTAATTATTAGAGGCTGGTGGAAAAGCCTCTAAAAGCATGGTAGTTACTGACAGGGTCACACAGGGGCCTCCACTAGTGCCTCAGCCAGGGCTGTGGGTTTGGGGTGCTTCGGTTTTGTTCTTAACTTGCACAAGAGATTCCAGTTGCTGAGCTGGAGATTTACACAAAGTAATCCTGGTGGGCACTGCTGCCACTCCAGGGCTGTGTGTTGGTGGCCAGTGAAGCAACACTTCCACTGAGACATCTTCAGAGCTTTTAAAATAAATTACAAGTTTATTAAAAGTGTGTGATATAATGTCATGGCTTGGTAGTATAGCCAAAGAGGATAAAAAAGGTTCCTTCTCACCTTCCCAGGTGGAGCAGCTCATCCTTGCACATAAACAGGTGGATTCTCACCTACTGTAATGACTATGCACCAATAATTGCAAAAATATTAACCCCTGGTAATCAACTGCCTCAGTTGATCCACTTACAGTGATTTTATGAGTTAGCAGAAAGGTCCCCAAGGGTTTTGACTGCTTGTGCAGCACAGTCAGAGCAGTGCCCTAGCTGTGTCACTGCTCAAACAGGCTCTGTGTGAGCGTTTGCCCTGCTGGGCCCTCCCTAATCACAGCTGGGCTGGTTCCCAGAGCTACTGGGGATTTTGCAGTATTCGTGTGCTATGACCTGCTCACCTCTACCCTGTTCTTAAGAACAAAAGGCCAAAGCTGCTCCCCCTCTACCCAGGAATGCTGGGGAGAGCAGGAACTGATGGATGCATTTATCAGCTCTTTCAGATACTTATAAATGAAGGACATGGAAGACCCAATTAGTCAAACTCCAGTCCCCAACGAAAGCCACTGTGAGACTGCCAGTGGCACTACAGCCTTAGGAAACCTCCACAGGCCCTGCTCAGAGCTGCCACCGCCCCTTCTGCTCCTGCTCAACTCAGGTTTCAGGTCTGTTGCTCAAACTGCCTTACACATGGCTGCCATGTCCAGCCTTGAGGAGGTGCTGGACTCATGCCCATGCTCCCTGCTCAGAGCCCCTGACTTTCCTGCATTCGCATTTGCTCCACCCCAGGCATTAGTCAGCACTGGCATCACATCAAAATAAGCAAGGATTGCATCTTGCTTGTATTCCCTTTCTAACAACACCCTTTGCTCCCACAAGCACCTGGTGCCACCACCCCAGCGGTGCATGAACAGGGTCGGGGTCAGGGTCACGGTTAGGGTTGGGGTTAGGGTTATGTTGGGAATTGGAAAGTTCCGCGCAGGGAAGCAAGCGG